TCAACAGAACGCACACCTCAACGCACAGTAACACCATACCAACGTGATCACACCAACTCGAAATAATTAAGTAGGTCTACAATATTATGTCCATCAGGTGCGGCTACATAACCACATCTTACCCCGGTTTCTTTGCGCAGTTTCGTATTCTCCAATCTCTGCAAATTTGAGTGGAGTAAGGCAATAACCAACTGTTGAACGTGGCTCTCGTTGCCCATTCACTTACTGCCGGTTTACCCCTTCTAGTAATCCGGTTTTCTTCCTCGGTCCTGAGTCTGGGACATCTCCTGCCTCACAAAATCCACCCCGCTCCTATGACGCTCACCGGAATCGCCATTTCCGGCCAGCCCGTTTGTGCCAGCTTGACATCTCTACACTGAAGTCTTCCTGCCCGCGGAAAGGTTGTCAGCCCGCAAAGACCCTGGCGTCTTCAAGGAGCCAAGAGCCCGACTGACCGGGTTTTCTGCCATCGGCGGCTGGGGTGAGTCCTCCTTCCCCCCTGCAGCAGACGCCGATGATGGGGAAAAAGTTAATTGGTAAGGGACAAACCTCCTAGACCGCGAGCGCTGAAGGGTGGTCTGAAGCCGATGGTGCGATGATGAACGAAGCTTCACTGCACGCAGACAGCACCGTGCGATTTCGATGTGGTTTACGGAGGCACGCAGTTGGGGGCCACCATGTGGCTGTCATGCTGCCAGCCACGCCCTCATGCTTCGGGAACAGCTGTGACCCTCATCTTTCAGTCGCGCCAGACGCGTCGTCGCGGCGACAGCAGACGTCTCCGCCCCCCCTCCCCACTCCTCCTCCTCCCTCTTCCGCACCTGCACGTTTTGTGTGTTCACGTGGCCAATGAGTCATCAGGACGCGTGACTCCGCCTGACTGCCCTCCTCTCTCTCTTAAGGCCAGCCACAGACCACCTGACTTCTGTAAACGGCGCTAACAGACCAGTTGAGGCTGGCTCCAAGTTGGCTAGTTTCTTTTGGCCAAGCCAACCCGTATGGAGTGTCCACATTGCCTCGTCGGACTCATTGGCTCCACTGGATGGAGCTTTGACTTTATCCATCAGCCATCGCACCATCTGAGAGGAATGTGCTGCATTTTGAAAGTATCATTCAGAATGTTCAGCAAAAGGCGAGGCAACGGTGGGTTGAAGGACCGCACTGAACTGTCGCTGGGCTGGGGAACGGGTGATGTGGAAATGGTGGCAATGTGGGTTTTACGGGGATATCCAACACGGTTCATCAAAACGCACAGCAACACTTTTCGGTCAAAATTAGCGGAGTAATCAGTTTCGAAAAAGCCCGTTGCAATATCGTTACCCTTTAAGGGAGACAACATCTCAAATACCATCAAACGGCGATTGAGATTCGCCACTGACAGAGCATACAACTCAGCTAAACTCATATTCTAAGCCCCACTAAAACTATCCAAGTTCCACGGATGAAGGATGCCTTACCATTGCACGCCACGTCAAATTCTGTTTACGAATTCGCATGCCTTTGTGGATGCAAGTACATTGAGCGAACGCAAAAGCAACTGACAGCCAGGTCAGTTGGGCACCTGCCTAAATGGCTTCTAAAGCAGGAGAATAAAATTTCGCGGTCTTCAGTCACAAATCACCGCCTAGAAAGCGGTCATTCGGTTGACCCCAAAACATCTTTTCGAGTATTAGTTCGAGCACGGACAACTCGGTTACTGCGCTACTTGGAGGCAGCCTACATACGGCGGGAGAAACCCGACCTATGCAAACAGTTAAACTATGTGGTCAACCTCAGCTTGCCCTGGTAGATCTGCGCCCTTTTGATTTGCGAAATGCCTCGACGTGTTAACTTCCCGTTTTCTTTCCTATGTTGCGTTTTTCAAGTTACCATTTTACTGATTAGTCAACGTACAGTATACGATGACCTTGCTGTTGTATATCGACTTTCTCTGTGGAAGTTCAAACCTCTGTACCTTTCTCAGTTGTTATCTGTGTTATGCAACGACAGGCTGCAGTTGATATGCCGTCGCGAAATCTATTGGTTCCAATAAATTCTGCTGTCTATGCCTTCTTTAAATTCATTCCGAGGAAATATTGCTTCAATCTGACGGAAAACCTAATCCTAAACTTGGCACTAAACCTGACCCTATACTTGCCGTAAACCCAAAACCTAAACTCACTTTTACAGTATGACACTAAATCAACCCTAAAACGAGCCCTACCTCTAAACCGATACATCTGGTTGCCCTTTTCCGTTTTAGCTTTGGCTACTTTCCCGCTGACGACTTAAGCATCCTCCTTCGGATTAATGCACTTGCAATTCCCACATTGTACTTACATTTGGGACCAGAACAGCGTAACCGACCTGTCTTGCAATTAAAATCGCTTTCATCATCCTTCTTGCCAAAAGTCCTTAATTTGATCCCGTCTAGAGACCCAAGAAACAGTCATTAAAGGGGTAACCTTTGTTTCCGCCTGGACACTGGAACCCTGCCTTCCTGCTGATATTCAGGGTCGCATGATTGGCAACCACTATCGCCTTGAACGACCCCTACTCCTGGCTCAGGGCTGCCTTCCTTTCAAAGATGGCGCAAATTTCAACCACGGTTTTGAGCGTACACATTTTTTATGATTCTCTCTTCTATGTGACGGAATATCATACTTTTCTGTATACTGTAAAGAGCAGACAATATGGGGTTCATAAAATTTAGCAGTAGATTTTTGCCATACTGTAAACTTTACAAGCACATCTACTAAATCCAGAGACATGATGTTTTATGGACGGACATTTCGCGCTCTTAAAAATCTCATAATAAGAAACTTCTTTCATGTTTAAAACCTGAAGAAGACGTAATTTTCTACTGAATAAACAAAAAATCTATATGCTTATGTATGTCTTCTATGAAATATATCCGAATTATAAGAGAATCCAAAATCAACGGGAAAAAATCCACACTACGTCAGTAGTCTTTTTGCAGAGTATTGTTTTGCAGGCAGCTGATAAGAAGTTCGTTCAAAAGCCGACATCCTAAAGGGACTGAAGTATCTTGAGATCATACTGCACGGTAATTAATATTGCAACCCCACTTAAGAAATATTTTTGAGTCGAGAACGCATTTCAGAATTCTGATCAAAATTCCATGAGTTAGCACATCTACTGTAACATGCAACAATGATTGATCCGTGACTACTTTTTGGGAAACCTGGGCCATCTGCCTTCCCACCAGCCCGACTACCCTCTCCAACCCTATCAAGGACAGTTTACTCTTGCAACCCGGTATTTGATCGCCTGAGTTATGAAATCTGGTCGGCAACCAACCTTATCTATGAACCGACACATTGGGTTGCCCTTTTCCGTTTTAGCTTTGGCTACTTTCCTGCTGACGATCTCAGCGTCCTCCTTCGGATTAGTTTACTTGCAATCCCCACATTGCGTTTATGCCACAAACCCCAGTTCTAACCCTAAGCCTAACCCTAACCCAGACCTAAATCCTTGCCCTAACCTGACGCTAACATTAATATCAACCCCAACCCCAACCTTAACACTAAGCGTAAACCTAAACAGCAAGTCGAACCCTAACTCCAACCAGAACCCTTACACTTAACACAAACCCTAACCCTGACCTCAATTCTCGGCCTGACACCCACCTCTAAACCGAAACATCAATCTGCCTTTTTCCGTTTTAGCTTTGGCTACTTTCCAAATAACGGTTTCAGCATCCTGCTGTGACCCACTTTCCTTTTAATGTCCATATCGCGTTTATACTTGGTAAATGAATTTAATTTGACTTTTGAATTTAGCTTTCAAAATAAAGCATATCCCTCTCTCTCACTCCTCCTTTCACTCTGGCCTTTAATAGCTAAGCACCATGAGAAAGGGACGTTTATACAAAAAGTGAGGTGAGAAGGCGAAAAATGGAGAAGCCCACGGACCTCTTACGAAGGCGTGGCCTCAATTGCTGTCTAAGCCCGTGTAGATGCGCGGTCCGTTGCTAGCGTTTGCGGCTGCCCGCCCCACGTCTGTTTACTACACCCCGAAGCAACCACTCACCTTTGACAGTTGACCGCCAAGGCAGTCGGTGGTACACGAGATTACATCACAAAAACTCCCTCATGCCACCCTTTTTTCTCTGTACCGACAAAACAAAGTCCGTATGTCTCTCTCTCCCGCCAATATGCACTCACTGAGGACGAATATTTGCCGCACAGGGCCTGGAGGCAATGTGCGTACTGGCATTTGGAAAGAGTGTCCGAAAAGGGGGGAGAAGCTCCCCCTTGATCGAGGCCCTTGAAGTAAGCCTGCGAAAGGTATTTCAAGAATTTGCTCGCTTTACTTAAGTTAGCAAGGGCAGTTGGAACCGCTCATTTCGTCTTAACCCTGGCTAAAGGTCGGCAGGTGTGTTTTTCTCGTTGTCTAAACACACACACATATATATATATATATTTAGAAAGGTGAAGTTCTTTGGGAAACAGCAAAATTGTATTGTGAATTTTCGAGACTGGTTCCCCAGCTCGTCTTCAGACAACGGGTGTGCAAAAACAATTAACTTTTGGACAGAGTCTAGCAAAAGAAGTCCATGATTGGTTAAGGTTGTCCTCTCAGGATTGGCTGACTCAGTTTGAATCTGTCCTTAATGATTTTGTATGTGGCATCTAAATCGATATGCCGGTTAATGCATGCCTCATCTGAGTGCATTGCCTCCAGGAATTCGCGGCCTTTTCTTGTTTGGCAGGCGCCAACAATGCGAGTGTTCTCCCATGCGAATTTATGCCCAGTGTCTAGTGTGTGCATGGCCACCTGGGATAGATGGTCGCGTCTCTTCACCGCTAACTGATGCTCATGTAAACGGGTTGAGACAGATTTCCCAGTTTGGCCACAATAAACGGCATCACAACTAGAACACGGGATTTTGTAGACGACACCTTTTCTTTCGAGGTAGCCGACCCTGTCCTTAGGGTGCACAAGCTGTGTGCGTAAGGTAGTTGCCGGCTGGTGTGCTACGTGTATCTGGTACTTTTTCAATTGTCTTTCGACAAGTTCAGATACATTTTTGACGTATGGGAGAGTTCGCCATGTGGTTTGTTTGGTGCCTGAGTGGCCGTAGCATTGGAAATACCTTTTCCCTTGAGTTGCTGGTGCCTCATGCATTGACGTATAAAGTCATGCGGGTACCCATTTTGGGAGTACAGTTTGTAGAGGTATTTCATTTCTGCTCGATAACTTGTTTCGTCAGAGCAGTGGGTTTTGGCTCGATTCAGAAGGCTGTAGACTGTGCTCCGTTTGTGAGAGACAGGGTGGTTACTCTCAAAGTGTAGGATGACCTCTGAATACGCCTCTTTGCGATAAACTGATGTCTGGAGGGATCCATCGCTTTTTCGACGTACAAGGACATCCAAGAATGGGAGTTGTCCATCGACCTCTGTTTCCAAAGTAAATGTAATTTCTGGAAATATGGAGTTAATATTGGTATGGAGCAGATTCAACTGATCTTTCTTGACGATGACAAAAGTGTCATCTACGTATCGCAGCCAAAGTTTTGGATTGACTGTGGGAAGGGCTATGCTCTCTAATTTCTGCAGTAATGCTTCTGCCAGGAAACCGGATATTGGTGAACCCATGGGAGCACCTTTTAATTGCCGGTAGCATTGATTTGAGAAGGAAAAATTTGTCTCCAGACAGAGATCAGGGAGTTGAAGTAAAGCCTCTGGAGGCACCTCAGAAGTATATGTTTGAAGGAGTTCTTCGGTGCAGCTTTTTGCTAAATCTAGCGGAATCGAGGTGAAGAGCGAGACCACATCGAATGACACCATAATCTCGTCACATGTGATGTTGACACCGCTTAATTTGTCTAGAAACTCTTTTGAATCTTGAATGGAGTTCTCGGAGTTCTTCGTTAGTGGATGTAGTTGGCGAAATAGCCATTTCGAGATCTTATAGTTGGGTGCACCGATTAGGGAGACTATCGGTCGCAGCGGAATATCAGTTTTATGAATTTTGGGAAGACCATATATCTTGGCAATTGTTGGTTCATCCTGTTTTAAAGACTTGGCAGGAACTCCTGTGATAAATTTCCTACCCGAAAGGCGTTTCAGTGTTTTTTCAATATGTGAGTTTTGCGATTTGGTGGGGTCGGCAGCTAGAGGTTCGTATGTTGAATCATCTTTTAAGAGTGACATCATTTTGTCTGTGTAGTCTGTTTTGTTCAAAACAGTGGTGGCACCTCCTTTGTCGGCAGGTAGAATGATGATGTCTTCGTCTTGTTTTAGAGCTTTAAGGGCTTTCGTTTCATCGTAAGATAGCGTTGAGAACTTTTTTCGGTTCTTCAATGCCTGTACAGTGCTGCTGCGAATGGTGAATTGTTCTTCTTCGGTAAGACTGGTTGATGATATGATTGATTCGAGATTGGCAAGGAAGTCCAAGTAGTTGGAGTCAGATGGATTGTACTTCATTCCTTTGCACAGCACATTTTCCTCTGTTGCCGTTAGGACCCTAGCGGATAGGTTTGCGACCTTCCTTGGACATGTAGAATTAGTATAACCTTTACAAGAAATAATTGCCCACTTTTTGTCCAAGGTGCACCTCTTTTTTATCCGTTCTAGTTCTGCGACATGTATGATGGTTTCCTGTAGGATCTCAAACAAGTGAATAGGCAGTTGCTCATGGCAAAATTGCATGTAGTGTTCTTTTTGCTCTTTGAATTTGCGAAGTCGTTGATGCGCATCAGTTATAAAGGCTCCATACCGGGTAGCAATCTGATAGCCCTGAGATGACTTTAATGCTGGTTTCACTCGCACAGATTTCGGTAGAATCCTATTGCTTCGACATCGGTGTAAAACGGATAATTGTTCTCGCGTCAAACTTTCGCGAATAGCACATTTTTCCCATCGTCGAGCATAAAGCAGAACACTCCGCTCAAAGTTCATACGTATAAATTGAAAAACAGGCATCCCAAGAAATATAATTATAAAGGTGAAGTTCTTTGGGAAACAGCAAAATTTTATTGTGAATTTTCGAGACTGGTTCCCCAACTCGTCTTCAGACAACGGGTGTGCAAAAACAATTAACTTTTAGACAGAGTCTAGCAAAAGGAGTCCATGATTGGTTAAGGTTGTTGGCGCCTGCCAAACAAGAAAAGGCCGCGAATTCCTGGAGGCAATGCACTCAGATGAGGCATGCATTAACCGGCATATCGATTTAGATGCCACATACAAAATCATTAAGGACAGATTCAAACTGAGTCAGCCAATCCTGAGAGGACAACCTTAACCAATCATGGACTCCTTTTGCTAGACTCTGTCTAAAAGTTAATTGTTTTTGCACACCCGTTGTCTGAAGACGAGCTGGGGAACCAGTCTCGAAAATTCACAATAAAATTTTGCTGTTTCCCAAAGAACTTCACTATTCTAATTATATTTCTTGGGATGCCTGTTTTTCAATATATATATATATATAATGGTAGAGGGGTGCTCACCGATCGTTTCTACGGAATTCACTCGTCCCATTGTACCTTACGGGCTCTTTCTCTCTCGAGCCGAATCAGCAGCCTCACAGCGGCGCATGATATAGGCAATATGGTTTTTTATTACCTACAAAGACAAGGGAGACTGAAATGGCCATTTCTGGCTTATTAACCGTCGTCAGCCAGTCATACCCAGTCATATATGTAACATTAAACATGGCTTTAGCTCAGAGAACCGAAGTTTGTGAGCGTCCGCGATGCCAGGAACAGCTAAGCAGTCTGGTGTGCGCTAGCAGTTCTCTGGTCCTCTAGCGGTAGATTCGCTTGCGCTACCGCAGGGTACACAGGTCGTGTGCATGGCCGCCAAGTCGTCCACGCCTTTTCCGCTACCGTTGTTGTTGTTGGTCAAGATCCTGGTAAAGTGCTTGTTGTGAACCAGGGGATCTGGAGCGGAGCTCCAAGATGCGCGTTCGCCCGCACAATCCACCCGCGCCCTCCCCGCCTTCGGTCTTCTTGATTCTGTATTGACAGATATGGAGAGAGTGCGGTAGATACAGCGGAGGTGCACTTTCACTTTAAACTAATTTACATGCAAGTTACCATGCCTGCTTCACCTTGCACACGGTAGACATCGAACTATCATATATGATATTTTTGGGCAAATGCAATCTTTCCTTCAATAACTCAAGACTGCGAAGCAACCGTTTTGACACCGTGGCTGCGGATACTGCCCTCGCCGTCAAACGCAGACTACAGATTATCGTGTGCATAGGAGGCAGGCAAGTGTTACGCTGTCCAACTTAAGTGAACATCAGCGTAACCGATCCCCTAACTCCCACTTATCTGATCGAATAAATTGAGTGCGGAAAGTAAAATAATCACCAAGCCAAGAGAGAGCCCATCCAGGAGATCCGTACGCCGATTTATTGTTCAGGAGGAGATGACGCGAGACAGTTCTAAAGACAAGTATTCATGAACTGTGCATGCGTAAGCGCAACAATCCTTATCGAGATCTTTTTTAGTTTATAAAAAAGAACTTTATTTACAACGTTAGAGTTCACCAAAAAAACTTAGAAAACCGCAATCCCAAATTTACATCCGCTACCGAAAGCATGTAAATGTGCATTTTTCCAGCCTCCCAGTAGTCTGAGTTAGTAGCTGTTACAAAGTGATGAAAACCGCTTTTCTCCACTTTGTTCAGCAATTCAAGCAAGGCTTAGTCTGCACGATCACCAGAAAAAATCTGAAGTTTTCCTAAGAGACAGTTGCTGAAATTCGACCGAGGAGCCTCCTATGTTCGTTAGCCTGTAAGCTGCACAACTCTCCGGCATGTGCTTCCCGGCCGATGGCTCACAGCAGTTCGTCGACTGTTCTTGACGAGGAACACTGCCGTTTCTGCAGTGTTCTGAGTGCTGTTGCTTGAGTTGGCTTGCGGTGGAAAGCCTCTACCTCTCTCTACCTCGCTCTCTTTCTCTCCTTTCTCCCATGGCCACAGTGCTCCAGTGTAAAGATGTAGTCGAAATCAGTTGAGGTAGGCTCAGGCGAGAACTTGATGGTTGACGGACGTAGAAAACCGTCCACACGTGCGACACGTGCCACGGGAACCAATTTTAGAAGGAACCGCTGCTAGTTGATCTCATATCCACAAATTGCTGACCCCGAATTTCCGAATGCTGGAATTCCCCAAACTTCTCGTCCACGACAACAATCTTATGGCGACCTACAGCGCGATGTCCCAAGGCCAGAAGTCACTCATCAACCGAAATTTTCAAGGAACTAACGTACGCTTGGATCGGCTCGAGGAGGTATTAATGCGCCTGAAAGCCCAGCTCACTGCACTTACCACTAACGGCCCGCGGCGAACACCAAACAGTTGGCGTACCTCTTCCGTCTCCCACACCCGCCGTCCACAATCTCCAAGTAGCGTCTGCTGCTATACCAACAATTTGGAGGAGCAGCTCGACGATGTCTTCAGCCATGCTCTTTCAAGGCGTCTCCAACGGCCTCGGGGAGGCGATTCCACCCGACAATAGGGGCCACTGCTGCTGGAAGCGTTGCCAATTTCCACACTCGCAGTTTGTTTCTCTGGGACCGTATCGCTGGCGCCAAATTCCTTGTCGACTCTGGTGCTGAGGTTAGCGGGGTTCCACCAACTCCGACCGGACGCAAAAACCGCAGCTGTTTTTGTCTAACAGCTGCCAACAACTCCAGTATCTCCAACTTTGGACAGCGTTCCGTCGTACTTGATTTGGGCCTTCGTCGAATGTTCCGATGGGTTTTCATTATTGCCGACGTTTTCGTCGCCCGCATAGGTGCCGATTTCCTAGCTCACTTTAATCTAATAGTTTATTTGAGGAATCGCCGACTCGTCGACTGCATCATCAGACGAAACGAAATTATTGTGCGTGGTTTAAGTTGATCTCATATCCTTGACCGCCACATGCTATTTGATCTTCGCTCCCTTAGAGCCAAACTTTCCCGTCAGTTGGCAACCTTCTTGTGGGGGAAGGCTTTAGCTCGGTCTCATTGTCAGTGACGTGGTCGAGCCAAGTCGACTGCTGATTAATTTGGACTCAGTGGCTTTCGTTAGAAAAAAGGCCCTACCTACCTGTTCCACACTAGTGAGAAATACCACAGACGAAGCACCGAGAAGAAACTATGGTTTCCTGACCTTCTTAGTACGCATAAAGACGGTCGACTCGTCTAGTGGCGATCTTCCAAGGCATGAGTGGGAACGCACAGGAATAGTCTCATTGTGCGTCAGAATTATTACCGTAGGAAATTAAGTGTCGGACTCTCTCTCTCGCTCCCAATTCCAATCGTATGCCATCGGCTTCTCTGAGTCAAACCTACTTCAGACAAAGTGGACTACAGCACGCTTGACTGGGACGCGAGTTACATCTGTGGTTTATGACCAGTTGCATGTCGGGAGGGGGAGGAGGAGGGACATTCCTGCGCTTCTTCAAGTTTATGACACACGCCGGTAGTTTCGCTGTCCTGTGGAGAATCACCTTCGGACCTCCTGCGTAGGCTGCGTTTGTATGCATTAATAAACTGCCGCATTCCCTTTCAAGTCGGACTTTGCTCCCCGTACTCCCAGAATACTATAAAAATTATAAAAAAGGCTTCGCTTTTTCAGTAGCACTCGGCGTCCGAGTGATTCTGATGCCTGAGCCGCTTTTACGGGTCCTTTCGAATCCTCCTCTCGCATATTGTACAGAGGAATGCCTCATGTGACAGTTCGACCGTCGTCCCCGACAATGTCCAACGGCAAGGTGAGAACGGGCACGGTGACCTACCATCTACCGCACTCTCAGTTCCTACTTCCCACCTGAACCCGGTGTCAAGATAGAGTCAAGATGATCGGAGGTCGGAGAGGGCGCGGGTAGATGGCACGGCCGAGCCCGCACCTACAGTAAGTGGGCTAACTCATGAAATATCAATCGAAATTCCGAAATGCATTCTCGTTTCGAAAAGATTAATTAAGTAGGATTGTACAACTGACCGGCCTGCAATATAAGTCTATAAAAATTCAGTCATCTGAGGATACCGGCTTTCGAAAGAACTTCCTTTCGGCTGCATATATAAACTACACTCTGTAAAAAATGACTACTTAATTAGCATGAATTTTCTTCTTTGATTGGCGATGCCCCTAAAAATCCAATTATGTTTCATTAAAAAAATGCACAAAAACATTCACTATTTTTCTCATTCGGTAGAAAATTTCCTCATTTTCCAATCGTATACTCGAAGGAAGGGCATAATTCAGTTTTTAAAAACCTTTTCAATTCCCGAATAATTTTGAACCCACTCTATCGTTATGCTTGGATTCAGGGTTTCAAAACTACAAGCCGTATATTTTTCCGCTTACGGAAAACCACATATTTCTCTACGGTAGTAAAGGGGGACCATGTGGGTTTCTTAAAATTAAGCAGTGGATTTGGTCCATATTGTTAACTTTGCAAGCCTCATTGGTAAATGCAGAAACAT